CTATCCAATGTGATATTTATCTATATGATTCAATTGAATATGATTTGGAACAAACTTCCTAAGTCATATTCATATGCTTTGGCCAAAGACTCTCGAATCATATCTTAGAGTATTCTCTTTCCACCATTGAAGGTTAGAGATTCCTTGTTGTGCATTCATATGCCTACATGACTAGGTAGCTTGACCACAACAATGCCGTGGACACTCCAATGGAATGCCTTTGACATGATCAAAGATCAAGGACCTAACCATTAGACATTTATGTTTAAAACAACTCCGACACTGTTGTACATGTTGCAATAGTAGGAAACTCCGGCATCGTCGTACAAGTTGCTTATGAGTCGTACATGTTGTATTAGATGCATTCAAAGCTCATAAACCCCGTGGCCAGGGCACAGTCCTTCACGTAATGTTCACCTCCCGCACTATACGCTCACCTTGAATTCAAGGTAGGTGCACATGCCTATCGTACAGACCACTATAGGTGGTTCTGACTTATACGTGACTCTTCACATGATCGTAGCACTTGAGCGTATTCATTTACACCCAGTTATGTCGTACAGACCACTACTGTGGTTCCGACTCGTGTGCAGGCGTAGTGTGGCATAGATCACTAGAGGTGACTCCAGTTTATGTGCTAGCAATGATTAATGAAATATGAGTATAGTCGTACAGGTCACTGAGGTAACTCCGACTTATATGCTAGCCACGATTGATGAGATACGTGATGAGTATGTGATGAACTAGCATATGTAATGAATAAGGGACGAGCTAGCATATGTGATGAGCTAGCATATGTAATGAATAAGGGACGAGCTAGCATATGTGATGAGCTAGCATATGTAATGAATAAGAGATGAGCTAGCATATGTGATGAGTATGTGATGAGCTAGCATATGTAATGAATAAGAGACGAGCTAGCATATGTGATGAGCTAGCATATGTAACGAATAAGAGATAAGCTAGCATATGTGATGAGTATGTGACGAGCTAGCATATGTAAGGAATAAGAGACGAGCTAACATATGTGATGAGTCTGTGATGAACTAGCATATGTAACGAATAAGAGATGAGCTAGCATATGTGATGATTATGTGATGACCTAGCATATGTAACGAATAAGAGATGAGCTAGCATATGTGATGAGTATGTGATGAGCTAGCATATGTAATGAATAAGAGACGAGCTAACATATGTGATAGATATGTAATGAGCTAGCATATGTAATGAATACGTGACGAGCTAGCATATGTAATGAATATGTTATGAACTAACATATGTGATGAGATATGGGTAAGTTGTACAGGTCACCCTAGGTGACTCCGACTTGCGTACTAGTATGAGTTATTAATCGCATGATTATTTGATATTATTGATGAAATGTTGTGTTGTGGTATATTATGAATTTTCTAGGAACTATACAAGTGTTGTAGTGAGGGGTTATAATGTTTTGCATGATTTCTATTAAAATTTTACTTACAGGGCCACTCACCCTTGTCTTGTCTTCACCTTCTAGGTTTTATTAGCTGAACTTTCTTATCGTCGAAGATTCGTGACGATTTTTAGTATTGGAGATTATTTCGAGGGTACGATTCTTAATTCACTCTTATGTACTTGCTTATGCTCTAACGTCAAGTGTGAAGTGGATTCATTCCCGCTCACCGGTGCACTCTGGTATTTAGGCACTCTTAGGTTTAAATTTATTCACAATCTTCCACATCATCATATTTTATGGCTTCGTTACCTTCCAGGTATTGGTCAGCACAGCTCGATTCGGAGTCCTAGTGGATATTCCGGGTCGGGGTTTGTCACCACGGGCCAAATATAAATGAATAAATATTCAAAATATCCAAACAGAAAATGTTAAAATAATAATATAATAATATAATACTTTCAATATATATATATATATATATAATATAAAATAGTAATTTTTTACGAAAGTTTTTCTCAGATTCGAGTTTCGTGAAATCTTCATCGTACCTCCAATTTCGATTCTGCTTGCGCCTACGCGTTCGTATTGTTGAGTACTTTGGGGGTACGGTAACGTAATAACTCATACGCCTCACGAGCTAACGGTCAACGAAAGTCAATAATCTCGCATTTAGGGCATTTTCGTTGATTCATGCTTTTAAAAATTATAAAATCGTAAAATTAGGGACGGGTTATCACACTTCAAGCATCAAATTTTAATAAAATTTGAACTCTTTCGAATAATGGTAGCTAAATTTTGCTTAAAAATCTACGATTTTAAGGACCAATCTGACTCCCACAGTGAAATTAGCAACAAAAACGAAGGATTTGGTGAAAGGCTATTCTAAATCAAAGATCAAATTGCAATAAAAATCATGTAAAAATATGCATCAAGATTCAATTCTTTAAATTCCAAGCAGGAACAAACATATCCACTTATTCATCAATAATCAATCATTCATATCAATAATTAATATGTATATTACGCTGTAATTCTTATAAAGAATGTCAATTAAGCAAATTTTTATGTTAAGTTATGAATTAATAATGTAAATTAAAAAAAAAAAGGCGGAAGGCACGTCAGTGTGGTGGGAAGTAGGGAAGTGAAAGTGTGAGAGTTAATGGGGATAAGTGGTCACCATCTGTATGTTTTTTTTTTTATATTTTTAATGCCCAAACGACGCCGTTAGGCATCTATTATTTTTGTTTTTCCAAGGCAAAGAATGCGTCTTCTTCGTGGGATTGCTTATAATAAAACATAGTCGTTGCACAGATATACAGCCTGCAGCAGCCATGGCTTCACCTTGCAGGTTTTCCGACGACCCAAAGGGCTGGACCATCATTTCTCGGGTTGATTTTAAGCGAGTGGAGGGGCGGCCACCCCTCCCAGACCTCTGTAGCTTCGCCACTGGTAGTAGGGAGTTATATTAAAGGAAAACCAAGAAAATGACTTCAAAATTTTGAATTTTAACTAAAATGTCATCTTATAATTTTATTTAATGATAAGGACAAATGAAAGAAAAGGAAAACAAACCTTCCAAAAGTGTGCAAGGCGCACGCCAACTCGTGTTCGGTTTCAAAATTAGTATCCTGTCCAGTTTCAGTAATAATCAGTGTAAGATATAATCAATATTCAGTTTAAGCAATAGTGATAATATCAGTGTTCAATTTAAGAAATAGTCAATGTACACAGAAATAGTGAGGGAGAGGTGAGACAGTGTGATCGCGCCTAAGTTTTTTATTCCTTTTTTTATTTTTTTTAATATATTAAACTTGTGTCCACTTCGTTAAAACTTAAGTTATTTTCATTATTATTTTTTCAATAAATAAAATTATTTAATAAAATTTGGTTAATAAAATGTTTGGAGAATTCTTTTTCATTAAAACTTCTTTATTGATACCAGGAAATTTGTTGATTTTGAAGTCGACGAGTACAGGAAATTTGTTGATAATGAAGATGACTAGTACAACAAAAATGATAGATAAGGCACCTAATAATAATCCACTGAAGACTGAAACCCAGTTTTCATCAATAAAGGTTTTAAATGAAAATTTTAAGTGAATTTATCCAAGAATAATATATTAATTTATGATACCAGATATTTTAACATACACAATACCAGATATTTTGAAGAATAAAAAATAAAGAATTGAAATAAATTAGTATTTAGAATAAATTCAAATTAAGAATTATATGTCTCTTTTCTCATTTTATACATTTACAGTTAATTTACATAAAAAGTTTTCAAACACTATAATACTTGTTTTTTTTGTTTGCTAAAAGCACTTTACAATGATAAATTTATCAAACACTTTACTCCTTTATTGCATAGTTTTATTCTCATAACACAGTATAATCAGTTTTTTTTTTTTTTTAAAGCACATCAATAACAGACTAGCCATAAGAATTATATCAAGAGCATGCTGATAATGTGTTGTAAATAAAATATGGAGCATGAAAGAATAGAGAGACGAGAGAGAAAGTGAAGGAGATTTGAGTGTCATTTCCTTCTTATTAGAGTGCTTGTTTATAGGCTTAGGATAATATAGGGATGTGATATCCACATACCCATTTTTACTTCTCATATACCCTTCTAATTTTTGACCGTCGGATTTGATGAATTGAGGAAGATCAACGGATATAAATTAACAAAGAGTGTGTGAGAAGTAAAAAAGAGTATGTGGATAGCACACCTTATGTATAAAAAGTCCTAACTAATTATACATTACATAATCTCTCAAAAAGTAAATTACCGTGATGAAGTCACCACTGATATCTTTTTATAAAAAATAATTATATATTGCATAGTGACCTAAAATTAAACAACGCACTATTATATTAGTTGTAGACTAATTGGTCTCTATTTGATTATTATTCTACTAGCCTCTCTGCACGCACTAACGTGCATGCGAGAGGCATTTTTGCATCACGGGCGCTACGCGCCCCTAAATGTGTATTGTGTTAGTTTTTTTCCATTGTAATTGTTAATGTATATGGTTTAGAAAGTATGATATGGCTGCACATAATAGGAAGCAATAAATTTGAAGTTGTTGACGTGGATACTCTCTCACACACAGCAGTGCCTATTACAGTGTCCTCACGCGCGTGCGAAAGACACTTTTTTCATCACGGCGCGCTACACGCGACTTACACATTTTAGATGTATTTATATGCGAGGATTGGTTCAATGTATAGAAACATAAAATAAAGACGATTATCATCTCTAATAATACAGGTAGTAATTTAAAGTATTTATCTAGAATTTGTAAAAAAAAAAAAAGTAATAAATAACATAGAAGATCCTTAATATTTAGTTGCAACTAAAAGCTAAGTAAAAAGTATAAAAACAATCCAAGAACTTCAAATGGCCTTGATACACTTGACGGTTCTTCATATCATGAACTCATATCGCCGTCCTGTTGAAAATTTAATGCGTTCGGTTAGAATCAAATATTAGCATTATTTGTAATTGAATTGTATTAAAATTTGAAAACGGGAATTAAACATTAAAAGAAAGAATATAAGCTTATGTTGAATTCGAGGGAAGCAAAATATCTTTGTACACAACATTCTTTGTGAAGACTCCTTCATGACCGTGTAATTCTCCTTTCTTTACCAAGACTTTTGTTGTAGACGCTGATACTCCTCTTGATAAAGCCACGTACAATTGTCCATGACTGAATACGTGATCTGGTAGATAAATACCCACATTTGGTATTGTCTGCCCTTGTGATTTATTTATGGTTAGTGCAAAACTCAATTTCACTGGAAACTGTTTTCTCATCATTTCAAATGGGAGTCCTGCGCTTTCTGTGGTCTTTAAAGAGATTCTTGGTAAAAATACTCTAGTTCCAGCAAATTGTACAGATAAGATTTCGGCATCAATTAGATTATTGTAAGCTCCATGGCAAGCCAGTCTTGTACCATTGCACAACCCCATCTTCGGATCGATATTTCTCAAAAGCATTATTGGGGCACCTTTTTTCAAAGTTAACTGATGAGGGGGCATTCCACCAGGTGAGATTGAATTCAAGAACTCTTGTTGATACAAATTTCTCACATCGTCCTCAACTGAATCGAAAGAGTATAAGATATGTTCAGTCCCTGGAAATTTATCGATGATCATTTTATTAAGCTTGTCAGCATCCTCATTTTTTGGAGTTATAATTGCCCTTTCCACCAAGTATCTTGAATCACATACATGACATTCCAAATCAGGGAAAACTTCATTAACAAATTGGACAATGGATTCTTCACCATTCCATGGAATGACCATAGATGATGGTAATTGCATCATGTCGTCTATCATAGTTTCTTGTTCCCCATTGCCGACATGAAGTAAGAACTCTGAAAAATCTTGATCATTGATGGATCTCATGTTGTGCCTAAGACGAATGATTTTCACATGTCCCCAAAATGAAGCATTAATCATACTTGCTTGCATCAATTCAGACCTTGTACCGTTTGGAACAACTGGAAGAACTTGTCGAAAATCTCCTCCAAAAATCATGACCTTTCCTCCAAATGGCAGGTCAACACCTATTATATCTTTGAACGTTCGATCGAGTGTCTCAAATGCAAACCTGTGTGCCATTGGTGCTTCATCCCAAACAACAGCTGATGTTTTTCTTATCAATTCTGCCAAATCTGACTGGATACTAATAGAACACGTGGAAGATGCATCTGGACTGAGGGGAATTTTAAATCTAGAGTGTGCTGTCCTTCCGCCTGGCAATATGGTTGCTGCAATTCCAGATGTTGCTGTTGCCAGAATAATATGACCTTTGCTCCTTAACGTTGCTAGCAAAGCACAATATAAGTATGTCTTTCCCGTCCCTCCAGGACCATCCACAAAAAATATGGCATTGTCTCGACGTTCAATAGCAGACACAATCGAATTATACGCTACCATTTGGTCTTCATTTAGATTATGTACCGCATTGAGGTCTGCTTCAGAGATGTCAAGTGAAACTTCATCTTGTATTATCCTTGGAAGTGTGTTGTGTCTAACACAATCTTGTGTTATTTGTGGTAAATCGTAATCAGATACAGACTTACTATGTTGCACTAATAGCCCATTCAAGTCTTGCAAAAGCTTGTTTAAGATAAAAGTATTATTTATGGTACTTGAGACAGAATAATCTTCTACCATAAATGAATGAAATTCATCCCACAATCTTCTTACTCCATGCGGTTCACAGTAAACCAAGATGGTAACAAACAACCTTCGTAAAGCTGGCGGCATTCGAATGTTAGAGGCATCACGAAGACATTGTCTGATGCTATCATCATCTTCTAGCAAACCTCGTTGTTCCACTGCCTTTTTAAATGTTGGTTGTACAATGTCATTGACTGTTCTTAAATCTCAACCTCTATGATTAAGAAGGATGCGTAAGTAGAATTTTTCACCCTCATTTGGCGAAACTGCATATATTCGGCCAATAACTTTATGGTTATTCATCCTCTCACTCCAGACTTTATCTCTTTGACTCCATCTGAACCGTTCAGGGAACTCCCGGTATAAGTATCGTCGTGCTTCCGGGCAAGTGGTATTCTTGGTAAAAAACTCTATCAACATAGTCATCGAGTTTGTGTCATCTGCCAAAATATCTGATACTCTTTGGTGAGGGTAAAAATGAACAGTTTGTCCTTCAGGGAGATGAATTTGTAATCGTTCCACCGATGGATAAAGTCGATTAGTTACAAATTTGAATATTCTCCATAAAGCTTCAGGTGCACAAACCCATCTTGCATCAACAAACTGCTTTATTTCATCTTGAATAGGTTCAGGATGGACTTCAAAAGCTACTCGGTCAGGACCTTTATAAACATATTTGTACAGATACTTAACACTCTTAATGCTGCAACAAATCTCAACATTAATATGACAATCATATCTGAGGAGTAACCATGAGTTATACGGAATGACCCACCGATTATCCACCATTATACGTGCATTTTGATCTAATGGGACTGGATTATGATTGTCTCTTCTACGATAGACTGGATAAGAATCATTTCCTTGAACTGTAGTTGGTGCAAATGGCTTAGGATAATTTCGTTTACAACTACCACGTTTCATACAAGGTGATCGTGAATTGTGTATTCCACATGGACCATGTATCATATGCCTTAACACGGCACCATACAATTCAGGCTCTTCATTTGGAATTGGTATTTCAGCACGTACCATCTGATCATAATCATCTGGACTATTAAGCTTATCATTTCTCTCTAACATGAGAAGCATGTGAACATGGGGGAGACCGCGCTTTTGAAACTCAATGACATATACATATGCAAGAACTCTGCCTAAAACACTTTTTTTTATAACATCATTCTTCAACTGTTCGAATTTTGCACAAAAAACCCTTGTAAGCAAATCTGGTCGATCTTGTGGTGCTTGGCCAGGTAGTAGCTCATCACTTATTTCTTCCCAATTTGGATTACATGTCATTGTTAGGAAAATATCTGGTCTTCCATATTTTTGCACCAAAGTCATTGCATCTTGATACCTTTGATACATGTCACGGGGACTACCAACAAAAGATGATGGTAATATAGTCCTACGACGACCAATGTTTCCTGTATTTGTTTTGTTAAAAGTCGTTAATAAGTCTAAATATGTTTGTTTTGTTTCAACCCATTAATAAGTCTCATTTAATGTGACAAAACATGAACATGAAGAATATATTTTTTTATTATAAACTGATTAGCCTCATACCTGCATTATTTTGTCCTGCAATTAATGAGTCTTGTAGTCCTCGATAAAATTCAGATCGAATTGTGTGTTGATTATCACGCATCCATCTAAGCTTTTGTGATTCGATCTTTACGTAGTTGTCAACTACATATTGCTGCAATAGGCGGCCACCACGAAGTAGAAGCGATTCATCATGTTGACGGATCTAAAATGATAAAATTCATTGTTCAACACAATATAAGTTTTAAAAATTAATATTTATTGACAGAGATGAAGGTCTTAGGTTACCTGAAGAACATACGAATAATAGTCACAGCATGTCACTTTTCTGTTGGTATTATTTTTTCGAGTATTCACATCCCATCCGTACGTTCCATAAGGTAACAACAATGGATATTGTAAAGGGTCATAGTAGCCGACACAATCTTTGATACTCTTAAGTTGACCATCCGTAGTTTGCACAACAATATCTCGACCTCTAATGTTTTCTGATCCTTCACCACCTACTATGATTGCAGCAACCTGAGATGCAGACGGTAGACAATATTGTCGTTGATTCGCGGGCTGCTCCTTGATAATCAATCTACAACTTTGCAAATCTTGACGTTGTGCAAGGTGGTGAAATGTTTTGCACAAATGGATTATATTGATTTCAAGATTTGTTGGATTTTTTCAACCACATCTCTCTGTTTAGTGCTTCACTTTCTCTCATCCGATTGTCTATTTCATGAGCAGTGTCATATATATACATTTGTAGGAATCTTGGTCTACTATCTCCAATAGGCAAGAGACTTCCAATCTTATGGTATATGGAACCTTGAGCACGAAATGTGTAAATACCACGTCTTCCTGTTGCTAGGTTTTCGTCAACATGAACTCCCATTGATGTGAAGGCAAAAATGTGGTTGTAAGCTCGTATATTCTGCCTAAAATGTCTTCCCTGGGCAGATTGGTTGCAAAAAAGCTCAGTCATTTCAGGAGGGGATGGTGTCAATGGTAGAGCAAGCTTTCCACGTAAGCAACACATTTCAAATGTTTCATGAGAGAACAAACGGGCATGACAATCTGGACATGTGGTTGGATTTGGCATGTGAAATCTTGGGATTCCCATGTTTTCATTGAAGTTTCTAGCACAATTATGAATTGGCCTTGTTCCCATCGTATGCTGTCGAGGTGGTACGTCCTCGTTAGGCTGGATCTCATTTTCATTAATGAGATTAAAATCATCTGCTTCAAAAGGAAACATTAAAAGTGTTTTTATGATTTAGAGAGCATAGTTAAAAATTGTAGGTATTAATATTCCAAAAACCGATACCTTCATTGATGATGGGTGGATAAGAATGATTCATTGGAGTATTCGAACGGAATGATTGCCTTGTTGTGTTTTCTGTATTAATGAAATGGAATAGAAGTAAGGTAATAAGTGGTGTTTACAATAATGATGATATTGATATTTATCTTTTTCAAAGTTGTAGTATATGGTAGTTTGTGCGATTACCATTATTAGTTAAACTTTGAATAAGTCCATCCTGAGGCAAGCGTGCCCTATTCGATCGAGCAATTTGCCTTATATGAGTTAAGCGCATTGTTCTTGGAACTTGATTGTTGCTGCCTTCTCCAAACGGCACTATGTTGAGTCGTTCAACATGATTGCTACTGCCTTCATTGAATTGCACTATGTTAGGGTGTTGAACTTGATCGGTATTGCCACCAAATAACATTATGTTTGAGCATTGAATTTGTTGATCACGATAATTGGATCGTCGTTGTGCTAAGTAATCGTGCTTTTGCCTTGAACTCATTGAATTCCGCCTCATACGTTGTTGATCCCGCCATTGCTCTCGTTGGCTTTGTCTCTCATTAGTAACATATGCATCTTGTTGCTCTAAACCAAGAAACGTAATGGTGCACGAAAAATATTAGTAAGTATATAATATTATTTAAGTACCTACATACTTATTTTTTTTCCTTTTGTTTTTGTAATTGAATCAGTGGTATACATTACGTTTTTTTTCTTCGTTTGATTGGAAAATAAAAAAAAAAAAAAAGTTTACGGTAGACTTAGTTTATTATTATTTTTCCTTTTGTTTTGTAATTGAATCAGTGGTATACATTACGTTTTTTTTTTCTTCGTTTGATTGGAAAATAAAAAAAAAAAAAAGTTTACGTAGACTTAGTTTATTAAAGAGTAAATACAATAATAGTGGTAAAATAAAATTAGTTTAAAGCAGACAATTTAGCACATAGTGTCACGGGAAGAGAGGAGGAGGACAAAGGAATGGTTTCTAACTTATAGAACTATTTTGTTTTATCCCCATGTCGTGAATCAACCATTGGGGGTCTAGTGTTGTTTTAGAGCTATTTGATAACTTAAAGCTGTTTCATATGTACCTAATAATATGATTATGTTTTCCCTTGATTATTATAGTTGAACTTTTATTCCATGTTTACATAAAAAATTTATCACTTACCGTTCCAGACATATTCCTTTCCTTATTATTATTATTATTTTTGGAGTACTTGTTAAAACGTTGGTCACTGTGGTAAATATATACAATCCAAATGTTGGAATTGTTATAGACATAACAAAATTATTAAATGGATGTTTCCATTGATAGTACGAAAGGCAATGACAATGTAAAATAACTAATCGTTCAATCTTAATGGATGTGTCTTAATAATTTGTACAAAAAATATTCATACAACATATGGATTTACAAATATATATATAATTAATAGAGACAAAAAAAAATATAGTTACCCGCTGATGTTGGTCCTATGTCATCTTGGTTTACTTCCGTTTGATTTTGTACTATATTTACCGAGTTCAATCGGGCTTGATAATTAGCACGTCGTCGCAGTGAAATTCGAGCCCGCTGTGATGAATTCATAGATTGTCATCTTTGCCTTTGTTGATTGCTCCTACGATACCTTTGGTTTGACTGTTGAGAATTGTGAACATTTGTTTGTCCGAAGTGAACTTCTTCATTGCCGACCTACATTGAGAAATTGCCAAAAAGAATGAATTTTATTTTATTTTTGAAAAAGAAAAAATAAATCATCTCTACATAAGAGGAATAATGCAGAAAAGGTAAGAACCTCTGACATATTGGTTCTATCATTTCCCTCCATACTTGATATGTTGAAGTCCTTTGGGAATCTTAAAAGTGAATACGTCTCCTGTCACACAAAAACTCCCTAGACTAAGAAGCAGTTCCACAGGGAAGCAGTTTAACAGTAGTCGCTGCAATACCTAAGCCAATGAAAATACAGAAATTGCAGACTAAATGAAAAAAATTTACGTTCAGAATATAAGTAACTTAAAAACTGCACATAAACAGAATTTTATATTACAATTGAACCAACCTTTGCTAATACTGACCCGTCAGCGGATCGAACTGCCCCTACATTAAAGCAGGAAAAAGTTCAATTTACATGGCTAAATAAACTTGAGGGTTGCATAAATCAAGTTATTATTAAATAAGGAATATAGAATGAATGATATTGACTCTAATGTACATATGAATTGTGAGAGGAAAACTTACCATTTATTCACGAAATCCGGAAGAAAGAAGCAATCTTCCGATCGAACCCAAATTCCAAATTCAAAAGTAGACGGGTCCGAGAAAGGCAAGCGTGTGATATGGTTGTCCCACTGCAATATAAATTCAATCACAAAATTGTTAAAGGTGTGTCCTTTTTACCCCATAATTGACAGAGTAAAACAACATATAATCATTGAAACTTTCGCTTATTGGTGAATGTTGGACGAAGAGAGGAAAAAAATCGCATGAGAATAAGAAACCATTCAACAATAAGCATCATGCAAGCTGTCAAGAACCACTAATAAAAGTATCAAATAACACAAAAGATCAACTGCATTGTATACAATAGGAGAATGAGAATTAAGAAGGCAGCAAGGAACAAAGAAAATTAAAAGAGCGAAAAATAAAAACTGGATTGATGGTGTAAAACGGAAGTATCTGAGCTAGTTGGAGACTTCCATACCTCAAACCGAAGGCGGCGTGCTGTCTAGTAGTCCAAACCTTGATCCTTGATAAATTGAACTTCCTTCTTTCATCTAACAATCGATAAATAAGGCAGTATGTCATCGCAATACAACACCCCTATACGTACACACACATACCAAAACAGCCTACATTCAGATTTGCATCATATCCTTGTTTCTAGCTCTCTGGGGAATTTTCACAAACACCTAGTAGTCCAATACAATCGTTCATTCTATCATGTTTCCTGCGAAAGATGGTAGCACCTAAACCAAATGCAGCTATATAATACCATGACTTGAAGGTACTTAAGATTATAAAGTCACACCAAAGAGATATTTTTAGATACAAATCCCCCACATCTATTAAGAAAGCAACCATAATTTGGGAAAGGAAAACACGCAGCTATCCTAATTTTTCAAAAATAAAAGGATTAATAGGAAGATCAACCTGGAAAACACATAACCCAATGTAATTAGACAGACCCTTTTGCAAAAATCAAATCTCGGTATCTCTGTCTCTCTCTGGTTCGTACTAATTTGTGGATGGTCTCTTTACAGCAACCTTAATTCACTGGATTACTGATTAAACACACAAATAGATTACAACAACCTTAATTCACTCGACTTACACATTCAAACTATCGATTAGTCTCTGGGGAATTTTCACAAACACCTAATATGCAAGATTCCAGACACCAAATTAATCTTAAAAAGTAAAAATTACCAGGAAAAATGAGAAAGATGGATAAAAGCTATAGAGAAAAAATAAACCTGGATTTGGAAGAGAGTTACAATGCTGGCAGCGTTATGCGGGAAACGTCTCTGAAAAATCCTCCTCTGTGGAAGAACCAAAGGCTGCTAGTGTTGGGTGGGGTGTCTGCACGCGGGAATGCTCTTGCCTTGGTTTCAAAGGGATCTTCCCGTCGGATACAATACGCCAGCACGCGGGAATGCTCTTGCCTTGGTTTCAGAGGGATCTTCCCGTCGGATACAATACGCCAGTTTTTAACCCTTTGCTGCTTTTGAGCTTTGTATGTGGTTTCTGCTTCACAAACGGCGAAAGGCAGAGAGAGAAAACAGAAAGAAAAGAGTTGTCCGTGGAATCGTGGGAGGTTACAGAGTCTGTGTGAGGAAGAAGTTTCATCAGAAAATGGGGAATAGAGGAGAGACGTGGGTGGGTGGTGGGTTGGTTTCCGCTGGTAATCAGTGAGTTTGAAACTGTACGGAAACTATGCAGTTTGAAAACTAAACGTGCTAATCCAGCGGACGATTCCGAGAAAGCCGGAGCGCGGGCGCAGGAGCAAAGCGGCGACTTACGTATCCAACACCATGGCAAACTCTCTAATTATTCTCTGCCTTTCCCCACGTTTGAAATTCTTCCTTTTTTTTGTCAATTTTTTTTCTGTTTTATTTACACAAATGCCCATGAAACATTTAGTTTCATAATTTACTTCAGTTTTAATTTTTTTTGTTTCAAGGGCTTTTGTGTCCAGTTTTTTTTGGTGAAGCCTTAAGACACCAAAACAGACTTCTGGCATTCTATTAGTAGATATTAAAATGGGAACATAAAGTCTGACAAGTAATGAATGTGGTTTGTTTTATACATTTCAAATTCGGACCAAGATTGTCTGTCCTTCTAATTTCTTTCCATGCCCTTTCACTTTATCAACCATTCACTCTATACCAAATTGGTTTTAAGGTTCCAGATTTCACAACCTCACCAACAACACTAAGTTTCTTTAATGCCCAATTTTTCTGCCTTTCCCGCTGCCTTTCCTTCCCACTCCAATTTTCCTGCCGTAGAATTTTTTGTAAAATTTTGAATCTGCAGTTTCTGGTGCTTCAGTCCAGGCGTTTAATTTTGAATCTGCAGATTTTGGTGCTGCAAAAGAGTGGGATTTAGGAAGAAGCAGATGGGCTTGTCACCTTGGTCTTTCGCATGTTTCCATTTCCCTTATTACTCTGCAGCCTCTGAGTAAGAAGTACTTCTGCTTCTGCTTTTCTTATTGCATCAATTGCTCTGCGTTCTCCTCTGTGCTTTCTCTTTCTTTCAGAACACAACACAGCAATTGGAAAGTCTTCGCTGCTCTTGCCAAAATTCAATGCTCTCTCTCTCTCTCTCCAATGTTTCTCTCCCTCTCCTCCTCACATGTGGTTCCATAAAAGCACCAACATCTTCACCATCACCAACATCTTCACAATCTTGGTCCATTTTACGGCAGGAAAATTGGAGTGGGAGGGAAAGGCAGCGGGAAAGGCCGAAAAATTGGGCATTAAAGAAACTTGCGTCTTGTTGGTGACGTGGCGAAATCTTTAGCCTTAAATTAACTTGGTATGGAATGAAAGGTGGATAAAGTGGGAGGGCATGGAAGGGGATGGAAACTAGGAGGGCAGACAATCTTGGTCCCTCCAAGTCTCCCTTCTCTCAGTTCCCAATTCCATTTGCAAATTACGAGAAACTAAAAAAATGGCTTTGGAGGTTGTTGGTGGAGCTTTTCGGGAGGTCATGGACTACATGCAGGGAAAGAAGCAGACACAAAGATTACTAGACAAGCTGAAGAGCACGTTACGATCTGTTAATGTTGTTCTTGATGGTGCTGAGGAGAAGCAAATTATCAACTCCGACGTGAAGGAGTGGCTCGATGAGCTTAAAGATGCGGTCTACGATGCTGAGGAACTGTTGAGTGACATCAAAACAGAAGTACTAAAGCGCAAGTTGGAAGCTGATCAATCTGGAAGTAGCATCAGTAAGGTACAACAACTTTTCTCTGATTCCTTTCTTTCTTTTGACGAAGGAATAGAGCCCAAGATAGAGGAAATTTTTGAGAGACTGGATTTTATTGCAAAGGAAAAAGATGTCCTCGATTTGAAAAAAGATGAGATTACTTGCAACTTCTTTGGTGGAAGATTCAAGTGTGTATGGAAGAGAAGAGGACAAGGAGAGGATCACTAAACTTTTGTTATCCGATGATGTGATCGACGATAGGATTAGTGTCATTCCTATAGTGGGTATGGGCGGGATCGGAAAGACTACCGTTGCTCAGCTTGTATACAACGATGTAAGAGTGAAGCAGCATTTTGACCTTCTAGCGTGGGTTTGTGTTTCAGACGAATTTGACATTGTTAGAGTCACACAAGTAATATGTGGCTTCGTCACTTTACGAACTTGTGATATCACCGACCTAAATCTGCTCAGGTTATACTTAAGGAAGCTTTGACAGGGAAGAAGTTTCTCTTTGTTCTTGACGATGTCTGGAATGAGAACTACATTCACTGGGATACTTTAAGGCATCCCCTTGAATTTGGAGCACATGAAGTAAAATCATTGTCACAACACGTAATGAAAGCGTTGCGTCTCTGATGGGTACTCTTCCAGCTCACCGTTTGATGCAGATATCCGAGGAAGACTGTTGGTGGTTATTTGCAAAGCATGCCTTCCAGTGTCATTAGCGCGCATCCCAATCTTGAAGTTATCGGAAGACAAATTGTTAGAAAGTGTAAAGGACTTCCTTTAGCTGCAAAGTCACTCGGGGGTCTCTTACGCTCTAAATTCAGTATGAAAGAATGGGAAAATGTACTTAAGAGTGACATATGGGAGTTGTCAAATAAGGAAAGTAACATTCTGCCAGCTTTATGGTTGAGCTACTATTATTTGCCTCCACATCTTAAGCGTTGTTTTGCCTATTGTTCGATATTTCCCAAAGGTTATGAATTTACAAAATCAAGATTGGTTTTGCTGTGGATGGCCGAAGACTTCTTACGACAAGAAAAGAAGAAACCGTTGGAAGAAGTTGGAGTTGACTACTTCAATGAGCTAGTATAAAGGTCATTTTTTTCAACATTCATCAAGTGTTCACAATGGTTACATCATGCATGATCTCATCAACGATTCAGCAAAGTTTGTATCCGGAGAATTCTGTTTGAGGTTGGAAGACAATGACTCATTCGACATTGTGAGGAAGGCACGTCATTTTTCATTTTTGATCGGTAGGGATGGTCGTGATTTTGAGAAATTTGAGGCTTTATATAAAGCTATTTGCACACCTTCCTATCATTACCGCAATGGAAACCAATATGTCCGTCATTTACTGAATGATCTATTGCCATGGCTACAATGCTTAAGAGTGCTCACTTTATCATGTTAGGGCTTCATCATATTGACAATGTCACGGATGCATTGGAGGCCAGTATACTGGACAAGAATTGCCTCAGTGAACTAAGTTTGGAATGGGAAGGTGACGCTGACAACTCACAAAAAGATAGAGAAGTGCTCGACAGCCTCCAACCCCATACGAACATAAAAATACTCAGTATCCATTTTTATGGAGGTACAAGATTTCCTAGCTGGTTAGGAGATTTTTCCTACTCTAATTTAGTTGGTCTGAAACTTGTGAACTGTGGAAACTGTTGCTTCTTGCCACCACTGGGTCAGCTACCCTCCCTCAGAGATCTTTCTGTTGAAGGGTTAAATGGAGTGGTGTCGATAGGTCCTGAGTTTTATGGCTACGGTGCAAGAAAGTAGAAAACTTGTTCAAGAACGATGATTGAGGACTTGTATCGAACACTTGGTGTGCACAGAAGACCAACGCCAAGAACAGTGAAATGTAGAAAATGACGAGCCCCAGAAAATCAAACAGAGCACACAAAGATCAGAAATGATGAGCGGAAGCAGTCCAAGATCGAAGAACTTCAACCGAGCGATTAGCTACTTCGGCGAAGATACCATGTAAACTACACTGTAATAGCAGGAGAATATGCAGTACGAGAGAAAGAGAGAAAGAGAGAGAGAGAGAGATTTAGAGAGAGAGAGATTTAGAGAGTGAAGTTGATACTTTCATATGTAATATTTTCCATTACTTCAATCTTACAATATCAAGACTATATACTATATGAAACTGCTAACTAACTCTAACAACCTCTCTAACAACCTTTCTAATCTTTTGACAAGTGTCTTCATATTCTACCATTGGATTACTATCCTTAACATCCCCCCTCAAGCTCAGGAGAGGTGGAATCCAAACTGAGATTGCGACAATGAGTCTGAAAAAGAGGAGTAGATAACCCCTTGGTCAGTATGTCTGCATATTGCTCATTGGAAGACACAAACTGAACAAGCAACTGCTTCTTTGCAACTCGTTCGCGAACAAAATGAATATCAACCTCAATGTGCTTTGTGCGTTGATGTAGAACCGGATTTGATGTTAGTGCGATTGCTGACATATTATCACAATACAAAACTGGTGAAGTAGGAATAGTAAGATGCACAAAGGTCAGTAATTGCTTAATCCAATCCAGTTCAGCTGCTGTAGCAGCAAGTGCACGATACTCGGCCTCAGTTGATGACCGGGAGACTGTTTGTTGCTTCTTAGAGGACCACGAAATCGGATTAGAACCCAAAAAGACGACAAAACCAGTAGTAGACCGTCGATCATTAGGGTCTCCGGCCCAATCAGCATTAGAAAATGCTCTGACAGTGTCTGAATTAACTTCCAATCCTCCTCGAATATACCGAATACCCAAAGAGACAGTACCTTTGAGATATCGTAGTATCCTCTTGACTGCACTAAAATGGGATTCCATAGGAGTTTGCATGAACTGGTATACTTGGTGCACGGCAAAGGCGATATCTGGCCGAGTAAATGTTAGATACTGCAAAGCACCAACCACACTGCGATAAAGCGCTGGATTGTTATAAGGCTTCCCATCATCAAGAACTAAACGGTTATAGGGCAGACAAGGGGTTGAACACGGCTTGGAATCAAGCATTTCAGTCTTTATGAGAAGATCCTTAACATACTTAGTCTGTGATAAAACCAAACCATCTGTCTGGGAAAGAACCTGAATGCCCAAAAAGAAATGCAGGGGACCTAAATCTTTTATATCAAACTCCTTTGTCAAAGCAACAATCACATCATTGATCAAACTTGGATCATTACCAGTGAGGATGATGTCATCCACATAAAGAAGCAATATCACAACATTAGAACCAAAGTGTTTCACAAATAAGGATGGAGCTGCAGGAGTTGTTGTAAAACCAAGTGAGGGGAGAAAGCTTGTAAACCTGTCATTCCAGGCTCGAGGGGCCTGTTTTAAACCATATAAAGACTTGTGCAGTTTGCAAACAAAGTCAGAATGATGAGGATCACCAAAACCTGGAGGTTGGGACATGTACACTTCTTCCTGCAATACTCCATGCAGAAATGCATTCTTAACATCAAGTTGTCTCAAAGGCCACGCAAAATGAGCTGTCATAGCCAACACAAGCCTCACAGTTGTTGGCTTAACAACCGGACTGAAGGTTTCCCCATAATCAATGCCTTCCTCTTGATTGAATCCTTTAGCCACCAATCGAGCCTTATATCTCCCTATAGACCCATCAGCATTCCTTTTAATTTTAAACACCCATTTACAACCAACAAGGTTTTTCTGTGCAGGGAGAGGGACTAAACTCCATGTAGACTGAGTATGAAGGGCATCTAATTCTTCTTTCATGGCATCAACCCAAACCTTACACTTCAATGCCAACTTGTATGTTGCAGGTTCAATAA